CGATTTGTTGCTAAACAATTTAATTTAGCTGGTCGTGATAATCTCGAGCAAGCTAAGGTTGACTCGGTTGTTGATACAATTGTTGATCTGATGGAAAAAATTATACCAGTAATGTTGGAGAAAGATGAACAAAAGAAACAAAAAGGCTTGGAAACATTTCAACAAGAAGATTTACCAAAGCAATTACAAAATTTGGAAACATTATTAACAAATTATGGTCAAACAGGTCCATATTTCTTAGGCTCAAACTTAACATGGGCTGATCTAATGTTTTTTTAGAATTGTGGAAATATTACAAGGTTTAGTCAAAATACAAGATTTCTTAGACAAATATCCAAAATTAAAACGTAATCAAGATGAAGTTCAAAATCAACCAAGAATTGCTGCTTATTTAAAAGCTAGACCACAAACATTATTTTAATAACAGCTACATTGACATTTAGCTCCATTTAACGTTATCTATTGCATGCTGAGGTAAAGAAAATAGAAGAATAAGCGTTATGCTCTCAGCTGAACAAATAAAGTCTATCCTAACAATTAGGTGCATTTATTTGCTAGAAAAACAAGCTAATACTTTATTGAACTTGCGATACTGGGCTAAAAAAATGAATGTTATGTATCTTTTAACAGTACTCTGTGTATCAATATATTGATATACTGTAAAAAGAGAATATAAATATATTATTTCTCATCTTTTTCCAGATTTAACCTAGTACTGCACTTATTACGACATATCCCACGTGTTTGTGACTACATTTCACTTTCTCTTTCTTTCTTTTTTTCTTCTTCTTAGTTTTTACCAGACATCCCGTTCCTTTTTTCTTTTCATATTCTTTTCCCCTTTCTTCTGCCAAACACATAACGTGTTTACGTGTGTACCATCAGTAGTAATAGTATTCTTTTATCAATATTACATGTACCTATCATGCTTTTTAACCGTACATAATGACATCGAGAAACAAGTCAGTTCGAGCCAAACATGATCCAACAAAAATGATAGTTACTGGTTATTTCTTAACATCAAGAGTATGTTTATGTAATCCTCTCTTGCAAACCCAAACGTTAGTAAATTTGAATTCTTTTATAAACATTTGATTCTTTGGTTGAAACTTGGCTGAGTAACTTTATATCGTTCGCTGGTGTTGCTCTTCCGGGATATAAATGTTTTCGTAATGACAGAGACACGCTAGACAGAGGATATATTTTTTGTGTTAAGGCTTGCAAACAATCACTAGAAGTAGCCAGGAGAAACGATTCTCAAACGGAAAGTTTATATGTGAATGTTTTTCTTCCAAAACTGGGGAGCACTCTGTTTGTTATATGTTATCGATTCGTTTCATCCCAATCTGTCAAATATTTCAAAGTCACAATTTGATTCTTTATGTCAAACAATATTACCAAAAGCATTAGGACCACTAATATTGTCCAATAAACGTCAAACATGTGGATAAATTTCACGATTTTTATACATGTATGATGTTCAACAATAAGTAACTAGTCTTCGATCGTTAACACTCCTATAGAACTAAAATCAGAACAGGTGAAACAAATACTCAGCAGGTACCATGAAATCCTGCTGCCACTTTTGTCTCTCGATGAATTCAGATTGTGTTTGTTCCATGTCTAATCTTCAACTACTTTCTTCCGTCGGAAAATGTGTCCGCAAAGTGTTTTCGTCTACAGTCAATTTTTCAGGACACTGTACTCGAGAAAATATTTTACCAAAACTCTATCCATCCCATTTGATAAAGAAAGAAATTCTGTGTAAAGAGAGCTATTCTTTTTTCAGATATAATATCTACTCGATGACCAGAATGAACAGCGCATATCTCTATCGTTTTTCTAACAAAAGTTATTCTAAAAAACATCCACTAACATTATATTTTGAGTAATGTGATCTATTTTGCAAAATGGAATATTTAGAAAGATTTGAACGATTTTGTAAGAAACAATGTATTTAAAATTTTGGGAGTAGAGGGTGGCCGTTGGTTTTAAAAACCTACAGGGTAAAGCAATTGAAAAGCAAAAAAGAAACTTATTTTTGTAATCAACATGACTAATTAGATTTAATTATAGTGGCTCATGAGTTTTATAATCATTTTTCACAAAAAGATATAATAACAGTTTTATTTAACATATACAATAAGCAAATTTTGTTATTTATTTAAATAGATCTTAATTTCAAAATGTTCAATAAACATGAACTTTTTATGTCGGTTTTTAGAATACCGATGGATCATTCCACCAATTTTTCTCAGATATTCTTTTATATTTTTGTCGAAGGAAGTATGGTTATTGTTGAATTAGTGGCACTGCTTTATAAATTTTATCATTATTATCTATTACTATTTTCTTGGAGTCAATTGAATAAAATCCATAATGACAAATAATTAACATTTTCATTTCAAATCCCAGATTTGTAGCCATAATTGTTGTTTGTATTCTAAAATTAAAATAATTTTGGTATATAAGCCCAATAGCACAACTGTCAGCTTGTAAACATTTTA